AATTTGAGTAAAATTCATCATTTATTGTTAATCAAAAGATAACTATATCTGACACAATGGTGATCTATAATTAATTTACAAACCATAAAACTTATGTATACAAGAATGTCCCATACACTTTTAATATACAAAATTCGCATATGGAATAATTTTTTAATATTTTTACGTAAAATTTCTTACTGTCCAAATACACTTAGTTACCTTAAATTAATTTTATTATACTTAATTATTTACGGTTGTTTTGCTTAATTGTGCTGCGTTCGTTAGTGATTATTAATCATATTATTTCCTGACAGATGGTAACCATATCTTCAGAATTAAAGACGTTAATACCGAAACGGAAGCGTAGTACACAGTACGTCAAACGCTACTATGGTGTATGCTACTTATATTGACAGATATAAGTAGTATGTAACACCAATCAGACGTAGAATGCTTGTCAAGAGAGGATTGAGCTGCAGAGAACCGAGAAAGAAACAAAAATTAATTGTAATAACAACAGAATTGAAAGAATCATGAAAGATGTAAAGGACAACTGATGGAAGATGTGCAAATTATGTATTTGATGTATGGTTTGCATAATTTGTTAATTCACTCTTTAATCTGCATTAGTTTCCATACTTGAATTTTTCGTTCACTTCACTACTTGTCTATAAAAACCGAATCTTGTTCGTCAAGTTTTTACTTTCTTTGAGATTATGATTTCTTATTGTTAATTATGATCGGATAGCTTTTTACATCGAAAGCTGTTTAAAACGAAACAGTGCAGATTTAGAAAATTTTCTTTGCTGTCTATCACCTTCACTTTAAAAAAACGGAATTATTTGTCAGTTAGTCAGTCAGCTACAACGTAAGACCAGGCACATATATGCATCGGTCTAAGTTGCCATACCTCACTAACACAATAAGATGAACACCAAATTCATAGAAGTAGTAAATTCAATGGTAGTAATATATAAAAGAAATTGCATATAAGGGAGAAAGAATTAGTTGGTAGAAAGAAAGATATGAAATGATTTTAATCTCTTAGTTCAAGGGAAGACAAAGAGTGTATACACCTACGCCACTGTTATCGATTCTGAGACATGTCACCAAGAGTCTCCAACCATTGGTTACGATAGTCGCGCGGACCACAACCAAGTAGTCTACATCGTAGTATTTCTCGACCTTAAAGCAGCATTCGACTCTGTTGATCGTGAGGTTCTATGGCAGTGTTTGTCGCTGAAAGGAGTACCAAAGAAGTACATTAACCTTATACAGGCTCTCTACTCGAACACGACTGGTCGAGTGAGAGCTTATGGCGAACTGTCATCAGAATTGATTACCTCAAGTGGTGTTCGTCAGGGCTGTCCACTCTCCCCATTCTTGTTCAACTTTGTGGTCGACGTACTTTTAGAGATAACACTTTCCTCGTCTAGATTTCCAGGGGTTGAACTCCTACCAGGAGGTTCACTAGTTGACTTAGAATATGCAGATGACATCGTTTATATTTGGTGAAGACGCTGACAAAATGCAGAGTCTTCTGACCACTCTAAGCAACAATGCAAGCATGTTCGGGATGCGATTCTCCCCCTCGAAATGCAAAATGTTGCTTCAGGATTGGGTTGCATTGACACCCGAACTAATGATAGGGAGTGAAGTAGTTGAGCGTGTCGATCGCTTCACTTATCTTGGAAGTCTCATCAACCCTTGCGGTCTGGTGTGTGACGAAATCTCAGCACGGATACAGAAGGCTCGACTAGCTTTTACTAACTTGCGTCATTTATGGCGTAGGCGAGATATCCATCTATAAACCAAAGGGCGTGTTTACTGCGTAGTAGTTCGTTCCGTCCTACTTTATGGCAGTGAAACATGGCCGGTAAGAGTAGAGGATATTCGTAGGTTACTAGTATTCGATCATAGGTGCCTTCGAAAAATTGCTCGTATATCCTGGAACCATCGAGTAAGTAATGCAGTTGTTAGGAATCGGGTAATAGGTAAGGATAGCAAATCAACTGATGACATAGTGAAACTTCATCAGTTGAGATGGCTGGGACACGTGTTACGTATGACCAACCACCGACTGCCTCGACGTGCGATGTTCAGTGGTACAGGAGTAGGTTGGAAGAAAGCTAGGGGCGGCCAGACCAAAACATGGCACAAGTTCATGAAGTCACTGACAAGTGGACTGAGTCATATTGGTGGGTGTAGACTACCTGGTTGGGGACCGCGAGATGATGACAACCGATGGTTAGAGACCCTGAATGACATGGCTCAAAATCGTTTGCAATGGCGCAGGTGCATCCACTCTTCGTGTTCTCCCAAATTCTAATCTTCTGAATTCTTCATGTCCCTTTCTTTTTCCTCTTTCCAAATTTATTTCGCTGGATTATACTCTTTAAATAACATCTTCAAATCCTAATCTTCCCGATTACTGCTTATACTCTTACCGCCTCAACCATTACAGGATTTGAATCGACAACTGCATCTCTGTGCTAATGTGGTATGGCAACTCGAACTGATGTACGTACGTACGAAGTTCTACGTTGTTACTGACTGACTGAGTCTACATCTGCCAACATGGTTCAGACTAGAAGTTAGTGACCTCAATGACTGATGCAACGTTTTGGTTTGGCCGCCCCTACCTTTCTTCCAACCGTCTCCGACACAAGCCAACATTTTGCGTCGTGGTAATCGGTGTTCAGGCATACGTAATACGTGGCCCAATCATCTCAGTCAATGAAGATTCACAACCTCATCAACTGATGTACCATCATTCCCTAATACCCTGCGTCTAATCTCACTATTACTTACCTGGTGATCGCAGCAGATGCTGGCAATATTTCTAAGGTATCTATGGTCAAATACTAGTGATTTACGAGTATCTTCTATTCTTAATGGCCACGTTTATTTGTCAATAGTCGACTATAATTTTATCGACGCAGTTGTATAAACTTTAAACATTTAGGTCGCTGTTATTGTTGCTAAATATTGTCTAACTCGTAAACTGTTCATTTTTCTGGAAAATCTACTGTTATATGCAAAGTCGGATATTTTTTTCTTCTTAGATAAATGGTAAGAAGTTAGTTTAGTTAGATAATAGGAAATTGCTTAACCACATAGATCTATTTTTAAGACAATAAACAGAACGGATTGTTTTATATTTAATTCAATTAATTACTCAGGGTTAATAATATAAGAATCAACATTTAGCATTTTTATTGAAATATTTTCATTTAGTTTGCGAATAACTTTACAGATGTATCTTATTCTTCATCTTCCATGAACGAATGATTATTTAATAACTATGTATATGAATGTAATATGAAACAATCGACTTGTATCAAAGAACACTATGATAATTGTATACAATAATGATTTCTTTATACAATATTTCGTGTTTAATTTGAATTGCCTAGTCAATACTTTCGGTTGTGCCGGTGAAATTTTTTCGGATTCGAATATTGGAGAGACTATTAGAGTAAAAATTGGAATTACTTGTTAAAAAAACTGAATTTGACTACTTATAGTTATCTCAAAAACTCATACAAGTATTCAACCAAATACTTCACTATCGTGTAATTGAACTTTGTGAATATATATATATATATATACTCTATAATATTACTACTTCCGTTAAGAAAATAACATTTGATTGCATAGTTTAATGATGTAGAAAACGAATACAATGCCTTTTCCGGAGTATTGCAATGATTACCTAGGAATGTGCTGTATATTAGTTTCAGAAATCAATAGTTTTTTTATTTTTAAGAGTTTTTATTATTCTATTCTTGATATTTAAGACTGAATTTCACTCAGTAGCGAAAAAGCTATATTAATTAAATGCGTTCAGGTTAAAAAATATTGCAAAAAAGAGTGATTAAAAATAAACCTTGAAAATCAGCAACAGGACAAAATAAATCTATATGAATAAATACTGCACCGGTTGAACCTGTTGGTGAAGCCTTGACTACTCAGTATTGGATAACTTCCTGGTGTTTGAAGAGATTTGTACTGAGTCTGAGTCCAAGTGTGAATACGAATACTAAGATCCAGGTATATTAAGCTGAGAAATGCCAAACAAGACAGAATGTACGTCGTTGATTTAAGCTCTAGCTACAATCCAAACACACTACTCATGTTTCACTTAACTGTACGTTATCTTTTTGTAATAGTATCATGACTTTTGATGAAATACGAAATCGCTTTTTCCTTTCATATGTATCGCTGCCTTAATAAGATATCCCAAAACGTAGTACTTTCAAAATAGTTTACCGTCATGTAATGATGTCATCATTAGAGAACGATTGATTCCTTCGATGAGTAATCCACTCGTAAAATTACCCACCAATATAAATTTGTCTGGATGTACGTTCGATCATAGAAGCATATAAGTTAATAAATACTGTAAAACAGATAATTATGTGTATTCACTCATAAACCTTATAACATGTTTCGCATTAACAGTTCTGTCGTAGTAGAAAATAGACATTTAGAAGTAGCGTGAGTGAATGAAACAACATAGAGAATCATTAATTAATGCCATCTGAAATGTTATTACATAGCAAAAAAATGTCTCTAACACCCGATCATTCGTTTATATTCAAATGGTTCTGCTAATTAGTAAGATATTAATAGTAATGGTGACAATTTTAGAACAACAACAAAACTTACCATATTACCTATGAAGTTATCCCATACAATTGAGATTAGATAATCGACAACAATAAAAAAACACCATGCCTACTTTTGGCCAGTCCCATACTAAGACGGTACAGCTATCAAATGATTACTAATTTTTATTAGTTATGTAATTAAAATTAATCTGTGATTTAAAACTACAAACTTCAAAAATATCCTCAATCCCCTATGCTAAGAATAAACACTTGATGACATTATTGTTTTATTAAATCGTACAACATATATTCATGATATTAGTTCATTAAAAAGTCAGTTAATTCATTTACATATTGATATTTTAAATTTATTATCTGAATACTCTGAATTAGTAAGTGAATACTTTACTCTGCGAGAGAATTTGATGGGGGTGGAAGTCTTGGTGCTTCAGTTGGTTGTTGATTTGGTTCTTCAGTACCATTTTCGCTCTCTTCTTCATCATCACCTTTATAATATTCATTGTATTTACGACGTTTTAACTCTTTTAATTTCTTCATTGATTGTTCTGCTAAATTAACATGACCATAATTATGCGCTTCACCATCATCATAATTATTACTATGATATGAATCATAATCTTCATCATCGTGGTTACCATGATTACCATAATTATCTGGTACAAATCCAGCTCCATCTTCCATATCATATTTACGTTCATTAATTGTTTTCAATGGAAAGTTTATAGCATCGTATGAATTTCTTTTAGAATGTTCTAAAAGTCCATTATAATAATGATTAGAATGTGTATAAATTGAATTCATTAAAGCAATATATATTATTATTCCTATTAAATAATACTTCGTGAATAGCATATTTTATTGTAAGTAATAAAATGAGAGTGCTTCAATAGTATATATGGATATATATATGTTTACTCATTTATATGAACATGTATATTGTATAAATTATTATATTTTAAGGTTGCGTATAAAATGTTAAGTGCAGGCTTAGAATAGTTAAATAAATCAATTATGTTTGATACCCTATTCTTGTTATTCCGCATTTATTCAAAACATTGATGCGTAGAAATTACAATTTGAAATAAACTTTTATTTGAGTTCAACTGGGTTTGTTATGAGATAGTAATTCATTGAAGACAATGATGAATGTGTTGCTTAATTTCGAGGATTAGCTGAAGTTAGACATTAACACTGTTGGATACCGACCGGCTCAGTTGTCTAATGGTTAAGCGCTCACGCACGAGACTGATAGGTCCTGGGTTGGAATCTCACGAGGCGGGATCGTGGATGTTCACTGCTGAGGAGTCCCACACTAGGACGAGACGACCATCCAATGTTTCCAGGTTTCTCATAGTAGTCTAGCGTCAATTGACTCATAATCTCAACCATCGAAATTATTATTTTTATATTTAGAAAATATTGAAATTAAAAACTTTTATCAAATTGTAAGATTGAGAAATTAAACATTTCCTGGTGTTTTTCTAGGTTAGGTTTGAATAAATTACCTATTGCTATAATAATAATATTATTATTATGGGACTATAATTGATGAACGGACCAATCAGATTCAGGATAACAGATCTTGAATTTCGGCGTGAAATCCATTCACCTATTTGGCCAAGTAACGTTTTGGCATTTTAACTGATGCCATTTCGTTATGAAAATCCTAAATCTTATTTCTAACCCCTAACCATCCACTGTAAATCATAATACTTATTCCTCATACTGGTTTATAACCGTCATTTAGCCCTAGTGAGTAGATGAACGTTCTCAATGTTACTTTAGCGTCACTCAAAGGTCATTATTATATTATATTCTTACCATTACTATTACCATTAGTATTAATATTTTCTTTAGAAACATATATTGATATCCATTGCTATACTAACCGATCATTAGTATCAGAAGGGGTTTTGTGGATATTATAGTAATTCCTAACGGTTGAGATCATGAGTCAATTGAAAATAGACCCACCGTCCAGTGCTTCCAGGTTTTCCACGGTGGTTTAGCTTCAATGACTCATGATCTCAACCATTAAAAATAACCGATCATTATTTATTTAGTGTTAATTTTCAACTTATAAATTTATATACTGCTGTAAAGCCTTGGACGAGGAACTAATTGAAAAAGGGAATATTCTCTTTTCCATTAAACGTTTATTTATCTTATGTTGCGAACTAGTATGACAATGATTATGTATGCCAATAAATTAATTTGTTCAAATAGTTTATTTTATTAAAACCATATTTGTACATCACGAAAGTCTCAAATTTCTAAGTGAGTTTTGCATGCTGCATTATTATGGGACTGAATTTTTTATAGAAATAAATGTAAACCTGTATCAAAATAGCCCACTAGTAGTTTTAATAAGTGTCAAGTGATTAAACACAGTCAACAGAAAATCAATCCTAGACCTAATTTCTTGCTATTTAGGATTCTTTGATTAAGTGTACCCGTTAGCTCCTGATGCTTCACGTTGGATTTGATTCTTATCATTCAGATTCACAGTATGAAACAAGTATCACTGAGCTACTCGAGACAATAGTAACATTCTATAGGATGTAAATTGATCACTAACAAGTAACCAGAGTCATGTTTATCAAGTCCTTTTCAGTGCTGATTGAATTTTATCAAAGTTTATGTAAAACTAATAACGTTGAAATAAATTATTTTAAATAAACATAATGTCCAAAAGTAATTTTGAAATACCGATCAGATTGTAATTACTTGCAGTTTATGTAACCAGCACAAAGATCAAACAGTCGTTTCCTTTTTAACGCACAACTCAGATTTTAGACAAGTTTAATAAATATATTTTCAACAAATATGACAAGACTACCATTGTTAGTACACATCAATGTCTAGTTGTATGTATTTCTCACATAATCGCATAGAAATCACCTCCTATCTTATTATGAAAAGCATAATCTTTTGCGATTTCATCTGTAAAGTCAACACAGAATGTATTCACCACAAGTTTATCGATTGCTTTAGTAACATGTGTATTTTTGGAAAGCCACTGTAGGGCCAGTGAAATGTCACTGAGCCCTAGCCAAATCATCCGGCAGTTGGATCACTGAATGTCGAACAGATCATCGCTCCCTGCCAAAGTCATGTACAATCACGCGCATTAGTTAATGATATGCCATGGACTGGTGCATGCGGGCAGTGGTCTTACTTTCGCTTGTATCTACTTTAATTAATATATTTCTGTAATAACGTTCTCTGTGTTGTACAGTCTTCAGAGCATCTATAGTAACCTTGATACGTCAATGAGGTAGTCCATGTAAGGTGCCGACCACGAGGTGTGACTTCGACGTTAGCTGGTTCGTCACACCATTCACGTCTAACTCGAGTAGGTCTCCAATCATTTCGACATAGATCATCTACGTTGGTGATCTACACCATCAAGCTGAAGCACGAGGCAACCCATAACATTGAATCCTGAAGGGAAAGAAGAAAAGAGGAAGACCCAAAAACATATTGTTGTCAGGAACTGGAGGTAGACATTAAAAGAATGAATGGAAGTTGAAAACAGCTAGAAAGGAAAGCCCGGAACAGAGTTGGTTGAAGAATCCAGATTAGTGGACTATTCGCCTGCACGAATGGTAACACGCGTAAGTAAGTATTAAAACGTTTCTACAGTTCATCATCAGAAAAGTTAGAAGTAACTACTTTGAATCGCTATATGCTCTCCCATTAATCTAAAACAAAACTAATGCCGAGTTCATTACAAAAACATATTTCTTAGACAAATTCATATTGGTGATAATTCATATATGCAAACTTAGGACTTTCTGGAATAATTATATTGAGTCACTACTTTAAAGTTGGTGTTGAGTACCCTGTCTAGATTTACAACCCTTTGCAATCAAATTGTGTAGTTTAGAAGCATGTATTATCGTCAGAGAAGAGCGTAAACTGAATATGTTGTAGCTTTTATTTTTACATTAATGATGGTTTTTATTATATATAAGCATTATTATGGTAAAACTTGTCATTATCGAAAAGACAAGGTCTATGTTTCACCAAAAGCCCAAACAGCATGAAAACGATTGTGTCACATCCCATTGTGTCTATCAATTTACATGTATGTGTGGGAAACACGTACATAGGGAGGAGCAATCGTGATTTGCACTCAAGGGTGGGTGAACATATACCAAAATGGTTGCAGAATCAGATGAATTCCAATGGTGAAATAAGATCACAGGATAGACAGACATCATCATCCATTGCGAACATTTGATTGAGATGGGTCATAAGGTTGATAATCAAATCAGCATTTGCTGTTTTGTACAAAAGCCTTCAAGGACGTATACTAAGGTTTTATTGAAGCCATAGCTATAGGAAAATTGAAACCCCCTTTATGTGTTCAAAAACAATTTGTACTTACACTTAACCTACCCTGGTAGTACTGATTTACTATCCAGAGTGGTAATCACATTTGTTTTTGTGTACTTTAATATTTTTCCTTTGTTATGACTTACCCTTAACCTGTCTAGTTGACCTTTTAATTTTCATATACAAAAGTTCTTAACAAGTATATGTTGTGATCAGATTGTTCGAAATGTATTGCGTAAATATATCACATATTTGTCGTAATCTTCGGTCTTCTCATTGCATTATCGAAATTTATCAAAGGGACTAATTTGTTTTAAGACTATTTTAATAAATTGTATTAAACTTCAGCTGTTGGCTAATGTTTAAAAATGTTAAAAAAAGTTGATTTCAATAAGGTTATTTAAAAAACAATTAAATAATACCCTACTCTTCTCCATGGAAGAGAAAGTTGTATACCTCTACTTAGAAGTTAGGTGATTACGAAAGCTTTTAGTTGTCTCTAAATTGTCCCTGTGTTTCTTTGTACAATAAGACAGTGAATGATAAATACCAGTCAAACTTAACTCCATTTAACCCTTGTTGTAGTCTAATATTTTAGTCAACCATACTCATAATCTGAACATAACATATCTAAAGACTTTCATAACTAATCCTTTAGTTCCTGCTATATCTGGCGCTAAAAAGTCAGTTCTCTTCAGAGTTATTTGAATGAAATTAGGATGTATCACTTTCGAAGTACATAACATCCTACTAGTTGACCCTTAGACAGATATACAGGAAAGGAAGAGAATAGACAAGTAGAAAAAAGTAACTGAATTGAGATTAGTACATAATAAGAGTTGGTTTAATTAAAAAACACAACTAGGGAAAAATTCTTTTATTTAATGATACTCCTTTCACTTTTATGAAGAATTTGGAAGAAAATTATAGTATAATTTTACCAATGGTTTCTGCTTTAATCATATCTGTAAACATTCACTAGATTAAGGTAAACCATCACTTAGATCAAAATAAATCGACATAAACTTTCTTGGATACTAGTTGTCTGATCACAAACTCATCACCTTACAATTTTTCATCTAGTTCCCGGTAGATATATACAAGTTTCACGTACTGGAATTGCAAGTTCGGTTCAAATCCATCTTCAAACTGTTACATCCAATTGAGCTGTATTACAGAAGTATTGTGAATCGCAAGTTGGCTACTCTAAATTCTACCGATTGATAAGCTTCAGATATCCCAGTTCGACCCCAATACTGTTCCCAATCTCCAATATATCAGAACACGAACCGTAGATGAAAAATCGTTTATGGGGTCACGAGCAGCAGAATAATGATTTACAAACAAATGCATATTTATACAGTTAGGATTACTATAAATATTGACCAACAGAAAGATAACGCGTTAAATAATATTGACCAATAGGAAAATGACACGCGAAATAAATATTGATCAGTAGG